AGCAACAGCGGTTCGAGTCAGCCCGAGCTGAGCAGCCGCTGAGCTACCAACAGGTGGCAGGATGGCTCAGCTAAAAAAAAAAAAAAAAAAAAAAGAGCTGGGTGTGCCCTGGCTGGGCGCTGGGAACAAAGTCAGTAAAAGGGACAGAGTCCCCACTGTCCGGGGTTCAGCCAAGCAAAAGGCCCCGAACAAACAGCAGAGATGCAGAGCCCCCCTCCCCCATTCAGATTTCGTGCAGTGAGGTTTGCTTTTGAAAGCGAATTTGAATGAGTATCAGATAAACAATCTGACTCATCTATGCAATGGAACTTTCTTTACTCCACAAAAACACAAAGGGACCAGCTACTGATAAACACAATAGGGATGCATCTCAGATGTATTGTTCTAAGTATAAGAAGCTAGATTCTAAGGGCTACATGCCATTTGAGTCTGTCCATGTGACCTTCTGGAAATGGCAGACCAATAACCACAAAGGTGTTTGTTTGCCTGGGGTGGGGAGGGGCTGGCCACAAAAGGGGCAGCACCGAAGAATTTTTGGATGTGATTGAACCGTTCTAGATCTTGTCTGTGATGGTGGCTGCAAGACTGATGCATTTGTCAAGATTCAGAGAACTTCACAGAGGAAAGGGTGAATTTTACTGTCTATAATTATACCTCATTAAACCTGACTTTAAAATTAAACAATACACAGGAATTTGGAGGGGATCGTTCTCCTGTGTAAAAACCCCTTTCATCGTATTAGCTCCAGCTCTCCTGACTTCTTTCCATTTTACATTCATTCTTTTGACAGGTCTTTGTGGAGCACCTGCTGGGCGCCAGGTACTCAGTATTTTGGGTGACAGAATGGGCAGCTCCTCCTCTTACTTTTCAGGCCTTAGCCTGTGCTGTCCCAGGGTTTTGCCTCTGCTGGGGAGTGCTTTCCTTCCCCTCCCCCACCCACCACTCCCCGTTCACCTCTCCCTCCTCTTTCAGGTCTTCTCTTAGAAGTCACTTCCTCAGCAGGGCGGGTCTCACAGACCGGGTAACTTGGGTCACATGCTCACTTGGCTCCTAATTCTTCACCTATCATTACACTCTATTCATTTCCTCTCTGGGGACAAAGATTTGTATGTCCAGAGAGTTATCTGCCTTATGCCAAGTGCCTAGCACATGGAACCATACGAATGTGCAGCTTTATTGATCAAAAACAGTCAAATATAGGCAATCTCATATGGTTTAGCTTAATACTAAGGGTTCAGTGATCCTTATCCAAGCAGAAAGGCCACACAGTAGAATGAATCACTTAGGTGGGAGCAGAGAGGAACGAATGATTATGTTTTCTAGAAGGGTCCTTTCAGCCACCAACTGGAGCTGTAAACCTTGGCGGTAACTGTAGCAGCAGCAAGTGGGTCAAAGGTGAGAGTTGCCCCTGAGGGAGCACCTACCAGTCTGGGGCCACAAGGCCTGGGCATCAAACCCTGGCTCTGCTACCTTATAGCTAAGTGATCTCGGGCAAGTGACTCAACCTCCCTGGGGCCTTAGGCCCCTCCTCTGTGACAGGGACAGTGACCATCACATGTCATAGGGTTGTCATGAAAATGAAGTGAGATAATATTTGCAGAGTGCTCAGGAGCACCGTCTGGCACATAGTAGGCATGGTTGGAAGCATTTACCAAAGGTGGTAGGAGTGGAGAGGAAGAAATTACTAAGTTTCCCCCAAGGAAGGGGGATGGGAGTTCTGGTGGCCTTGAAGGATGAGTCATGTTCTCCAGGCAGAGGTGTTGGGTGGGGAGGAGAGAAGGCAACACATTTTGGGTTGAAAGAGCAGGCATTCAAGGCTCAAAAGCAAGAAAATAGAGGACAGGAGGGAGGGCTGAGTAGGGCTCACAGGAGAAATGGAGGGAGGTGAGGCCAGAGTGAGGAGAGACTGAACCATTTAGCTGAGGAGTTTGGACAGATACTAGGAGCCATAACAGAATTTTACGCAAGGGAATGATATGATTAGGATTTTTTCTAGAAGGGTCTCTTCAGCCACCAACTAGAGCTGGGTTGGGAGGCAAAGGGAGGCTGATGCAGATGAAAAGTGACAAAGCCCTGAACCTGGGCGGTAACCATCGGAATAGCGAGCAGGGGCAAAGGTGAGAGTTGGTACCGAGGGAGTACCTACCAGAATTAGCAGCTCATAAGAGGTAGAAGGCTTGGGTTTCTGTCCTGGGGAGCTGAAAACTGACGTAAGGAGTTGTTTAGGGAGGATGGGGACCCCAGAAGGCAGCCACCTGCCCCACCTGTGCTGTGCCAGCCGTGGGCACCACAGTTCTCTCACACACTCTCAGCTGAAGTTCACCACAGGGTATCTTCCCATTTTACAAGTACGGAAACAGGGTCTCAAGGAGTTTCCTAAATCATGCCCTGGTGATGCGGCTCATCAGCAGCAGAGCTGGGGAAAGGGAATGACTTTGGTTTTGCAGATATGAAGGTTGAGATGCCAGTGGGAAATGTGGGTGGCCGTGTCCAAACAGTGGGTAGAAGAGTGGTTCTGGAGTTATGAAGAAATATGGGGGTGAAGAATGGAGATCTGGGAGCCACCCCACACATAGGGGTGGTGGCTGAGCAGAGCAGTAGGTAAGATCACCAGTTCAGAGAAGGCGAGGAGGGCTCTGGAAAACACCAGTGTTTATAGCAGTGTGGCTGTCAAAGAGAGAAGCCACCCAGGACGGAGTGGGTGTTTGGATTCCACGAAGTAGAGTATAAGCAAGAAGTAAGAAGCAAGAAGAAGGAAGGCTGAAATGGGGACTGGACTTAGCAACTGGGCGGCTTTGGCCAGAGCAGTTCTGGTTCTGTGTGCCTGGGGCAGAAACCACATTGTCATGACCAAGATCTAGATGAGAGGTGAGGAAGTGGAGGCACTGGGTGTGGACCCTCCTTTCAGCGGAGGTTGAGAAACCAGAGCCCTCCACCTGGGCTGCGCTCCGGTGTCACCTGGGGAGCTTTTCAGACTCTGCTGCTCAGGCCCACTGAACCACCTGGGTCAGAATCTTTGGGGGTGGTTTTGGAAGAGCTTCCCCGTGACTCAGGTGCACATGAGGGTGAAGAACCAATGCTCACACAAGACCCCACATGGCACACCTCCATTTATATGAAATGTCCAGAAGAGGCAAATTGAGAGAGACAAACATTAGAATGGTGGTTGCCTGGGGCTGGGAATGAACTCAAAATGGCATGAGAGCTTATCGGGGCGCTGGAAATGGTCTGTGGTGATGACTGCACAACTTGGCACATCGACTAAAAGATCATTAAATTGGCCACTTAAACAAGCAAATAAGAACCAGTGCTCTGCTGGGAGGCGGGAACCGTCCTGCAATCCCAGGGAACCAGTGGGTGAGGTGTGGAGCATCAAATTAAAAACCAAGAAGCAG